AAACAGTCCATTCATTAAACTTTACTTTAAACTTTAAACCAGACATGGTTCAACATACTCCATTCACTAAAAAACAATAATCCAGTCTTGGTTCAACATACTCCATTCACTAAAAAACAATAATCCAGTCTTGGTTCAACATACTCCATTCACTTAACAACATAACCCAGTCACTGTTCAACATACTACAGGCACTAAACAACATAACCAAGTCATGGTTCAACATACTCCAGGCACTAAACAACCTATCCCAGTCACTGAACAACATGACCCATTCACTGAATAGCATAACCCAGTCATGGTTCAACGTACTACATTCACTTGAAAACATAACCCAGTCTCGGTTTAACACACTCCAGTCAGTAAAAAACATAACCTAGTCTCGGTTCAACATACCCCGTACAGACTTATTTACTGTATACAGGGAAATTTTCGCCCCTGTTTTATTTTCGCCTCTTTCGCCCTCTCCTTGATTGGGCGAATTTAAAACGGGACGAGTTCAAATTACACTGCATAATTTTTAAAACAGAACTATGACTGGGCGAATTTAAAACAGGACAAAATTGTTCACAAGTTCAAAAGGGCGAAAAGAACACGGGGAGAAAATAACCCTGTATACAGTATTTTGAACCGTGACTGGGTTATGTCGTTTAGAGACTTTTATATCTTGAACCGTGACTGGGTTATGTAGTTTAGAGACTTGTTTATGTAGAACCGTGACTGGGTTATGTAGTTTAGAGACTTGTTTATGTAGAACCGTGACTGGGTTATGTAGTGTAGAAACTTGTTTTTATTGATCCATGACTGGGTTATGTAGTTTAGAGACTTGTTTATGTAGAACCGTGACTGGGTTCGGTAGTTTAGAGACTTTTTTATGTAGAACTGTGACTGGGTTATGTAGTTTAGAGACTGGTTTATGTTGAACCGTGACTGGGTTAGGTTGTCAAGAGACTTATTTACTGTATACAAGGAAATTTTCGCCCCTGTTTTATTTTCGCCTCTTTCGCCATCTCCTTGATTGGGCGAATTTAAAACGGGACGAGTTCAAATTACACTGCATAATTTTTAAAACAGAACTATGACTGGGCGAATTTAAAACAGGACAAAATTGTTCACAAGTTCAAAAGGGCGAAAAGAACACGGGGAGAAAATAATCCTGTATACAGTATTTTGAACCGTGACTGGGTTATGTAGTTTAGAGACTTGTTTATTTAGAACCGTGACTGGGTTATGTAGTTTAGAGACTTGTTTATGTAGAACCGTGACTGGGTTATGTAGTTTAGAGACTTGTTTATGTAGAACCGTGACTGGGTTATGTAGTTTAGAGAAATGTTTATGTTGAACCGTGACTGGATTAGGTAGTTTAGAGACTTGTTTATGTTGAACCGTGACTGGGTTATGTAGTTTAAACTTTTTTATCTTGAACCGTGACTGGGTTAGGTTTTTAAGAGACTTTTTTATGTAGAACCGTGACTGGGTTATGTAGTTTAGAGACTTGTTATGTAGAACCGTGACTGGGTTAGGTAGTTAAGAGACTTGTTTATATTGAACCGTGACTAGGTTATGTAGTTTAGAGACTTATTTATGTAGAACCGCGACTGGGTTATGTAGTTTAGAGACTTGTTTATATAGAACCGTGACTGGGTTAGGTAGTTTAGAGACTTGTTTATGTTCAACCATGAGTAATGTTGAATAGTGACTGGGATATGTAGTTCAGTGGCTGGGTTACACTGTTCGGTGACTGGGATCTGTTGAACCATGACTGGATTAGTAGGTTTCCCTGTGTATCGGATTTTAGTTTCCAATGAACTTTTTTTTATGAGTTATGTGAGTTATGGCACAGTTGAACATTTTATTAGGTTATGTTGAACACCTATATCATCATATATTGCTCGTTGAACGTTATTTTATTTCTAGGACCTAATTCCTTTTATCCAGGTTCACATTTAGAGACTAATTACCTAGCGTTATATGGGCTGGATTCCTTATAACAACCTTCTTTTTGTCTCGGTAGATTAACATACTTAATCAAGTAAATAATATTCTGCAGTACGTGCACATCCCAAGTACTAAAGTAGGTCACTAGTTCTACTTTGGCATGCTTGTGTATAGAAGTGATACTAATAGGTCATGAAATTTATTATGTTTACTATTAAATACCACAAACTTAGTGAATCGTACTTTCGCTTGGATGTCATAATATTAGGTCTCCGATTAACGATTAACAATCGAATTAGTTGCCACACATCATCACGTTTACAAAAGTATATTGCATCGGGATCGAATATGTGTTCTATTACATAAAACCATACCGGAAATAATATTCCCGGAATCCAAGACTAGGTTATGTTATAGACTCTACCGAAGAATTCATCCTTAAACAAGGAATTCCTGAACTGGACTGCTGAACACCATTGTAGTAATTATTGAAATGTTGGAGCGAGACGAACTTTCAAGACCAAAGAACTTCTAGGTCATTGCGCATCACAACATAAGAATACGGCAGCCCATTTGTGTAATAACTGCAATTTAATTGGCATTTTTTTCATCTCAGATGTAAATATAAGTGATAAACAGCAATGTTAAAAACTTTACTGCTAAATTTAAAAACTTTACTGCTAAATGAACTTAGTTGGTACGAGATCAAATCTACTGAGATGCCCATGAACAATTTAGTACATTTCCCAGAGAACTTTTTAACCTTGTTGTTTATTTCTTAAATAAAGTAATTTTCTTACTTTTATTCCGTTTTTCTAAACTTATTAAAATTAACAAGCTTTAAGTATTTCATCAAATACATTAGGGTGATGGTTTATGTTTATTTTAAGGTCTGGCGATACGTTCCTTTATATTATGATTTTTTTTAATTAAATTTCTAGGCAATGCTGGTAATACAGAAATCCCCATAATTATCATCCTTGTTACTTGTAAACTGTTTTAAAATGCTTTAAAGTATATAAAAAATTAATATAAGCATTTAAAGTGATATACAATACATTTTGTTTATAATTGTAAACACGTATTACAATTTGTTTCCACCCGCAAACTTTCTTTGAAATATAATATCAGGAATTTCCTAAGCTAGTGTTGTTGATAAATTACACTCTTTTCTCAAACATATGTTTGATGATCATTCGTTGAGTCTACAGAAAAGCAACAATTGTTCAAGCACAGGATTTTTTATTATTTCCTTTTTCTTTTACATTGTTTCTTTGTGTTCCGTTTTGTTTTTTAATTTTCTTTTAGCTATCATTGCAAGTTTTTCAGAATTTTCACGGGCTTGAGGAAACAAAAGACGAAAACGAATATCTTTGTAAGAGTCACGCAGTTTGCGAAGTGTATTTTTACAATTCCTGATATGTCCCGTCTCCAAATGACAAAGAAACATCACAAATAAAGTGTATGATTTGTCATACATTATGAAGTAATTCATCGGAGAAGCACGAACATCACTTTTAAGATCTTCGGGATAACAACAGCTATCTTTGGGAAAGTACATAAACCATGAGCAGTATTTTTCTATTAGATATGTAAAATTACACTCAGGTTTGCCAATATCAGACAATAATAATCTATTATAAATAATTCCCAACGTTGGGCTATCTGTTAATTTGTTGAGAACATGACAGAGCACTTCTATTGCAGAATTATATTTTCCATGGCAATACCACAGTGTCGCTAAGAATAGTCCTCCAGATGCTAGAAAATTCCGTTCCAAAATGAAAGCTGATTCCGCTGACAGTAAGTACTTAGTAAAACCAGTCAGAATAAACTTTTTATAAAGAATGACCCCAGCTATTCTTATAACACTTATGAATAGATATTTCAGCGCCGCAACTGTTCTTTCATCTTTCTCACTTTCTAAAAGCTGAAATATTTTTACAATGGAAAGCATACATGTCTGAAACGTTGTCTGGTGCCCTTTCACATCCTTCAATGCCTGAGACAATGTAATCAGGTCTCGTAATTTTTTTGGTGCTTGTTGAATCAAACGAGCAGGGTTATTAAAAGATGAAATTCTGGTTAAATTTACAAGATAATATGATAAATTGAACGTGATTGAGTGAATAAACAATGTGTTGCTCAAGAGCACAGAAAGATTTCAGCCACTGGATGCCTTTACATCGCCTTTTGTGGGACCCTTTGGTACAACATGCATCAAGGTAACACGTTTCTCTAACAGACGTGATTTTAAATTATTCCAAAACTTTGTTGAAAACTTCCTCAAAATCTTATTTGAGGAAATTGGGTATACAGGAAAGCAATGGCAAACATCGTTTCCCGTCGGTGTGTATGATGTAATACATGGTCAGTGACTTATGCAATCAGTGCATTTATTAATGCTGTATTTGTAGCATTCTTCCAAAACTCAATCCTAGAAACATAATCATCATCAGACACTTTGCCAAACTTTTGTGGATAACGTACAAGTTTACAGAAGCTTGGTTTGCAACCAATGTCACTTGCAATGAATTTAATATATCTAGAGTATGTTAATCCTTCTAATTCTATGACAACAGTTTCTTTTGTGTATGACCACATTATATCAAGATCACTCCAATGAAATTTAAATCCTTCAGCAGAACTTCCAGAAATAAATTCATCATTCATCTGACTAACATTCTTCACATTCACATAGACTCTGTTTATTTCTCTCCTCAATTTAATATCTTCCTCTGTGCCTATTGCAAAATCTAAATATTTCCAAAGTTCCCTGGTATAGAAATCCATCATTTTTTTAGTAGGAGTCGATCCTTTTACATGAAATATAGCAAAAACATGTTCAGGCATTTGATCGTATTCTCTTACAAAACATTATTTTAAAAAAAGGATTTTTAAATTTGTGTTAAATTTTATCAACGGGCGTTTATAATTTTTAAAGAAGTACGAGTATGTAGATTTATACAAACATGGATTTAAAAAACAATAAAGAGAAAATCGAAATTCGGTCAACTTATCAATAAAGGATCGCTAAATAAATGGATTTAAAAATTATTTACCGTGTTGTAAGGATTGCATTTGAAGCAAACGTCCTCCCGTTAAAAATTGCCATGTTGTCTTTTTCAATTCCTCCATTTCGTCAGGCTGTCACAAATTCTCGCATGCTCTCAGGCAAGATCATTTGTTCTATTTAATATCATCCTTTTTATAGAAGTAAGGAATTACATCATAGATACATGTATTGACTGTTTGTTTGGGGACATTTGCTTGGTAACTTAATGATTGTATGGTGGCATATCTGTGTCTTTAACATACAATTATGTTTACTTGCGAAAAAGGAATGTTGAGATGTCTATCATTTTTATCAGCATGCAAAAAATTATGTGACATGCATTTTATTATTCTCTGAATTTAAAGAATTTAATTCTAAGGTAAACTAACTTACTAACGTCATTATATGACATCATACAAGCAAGGTGCTTCGAAACACAGGAGTCCAAAGTTTTTACCGTAACTTTAGTTGATTACAGTCAAGGATGAGCCATCAAGGTGGACAAAGGGCCAAGCACGGTCCGTAGTTCTCAAGCAGCTTAGATTATTGAACTTAAATAAATAGCACAAACACTCCGGATACTGAATTAGTCACAAAATTCTTCTGACCAAACCCAAACCTATTGTTTTTTTAGTCGAATGTGGGTATTGGGGGGGGTATGGTTACGATTAAATTTTCAAACTCCTATGAACAGAATTTATTGGAAATGCGACTAGTTTATATATTTACATGCGAGATAATAATGTAAATATCTTGAATATTACATGTATGACAACATGCAAGATAATTGTGTAGACATGCAAATTATTTATGTCAACATGCAAGATAATATTTCATAGAGATCTTTAAATGACGTTATAAATGTAAACAATTAAACGCAATATGAGGATTGATTGTAAGTTACGTAAAATATGATACTGTCTGATCCCCGAATAGGAGTAGAAAAAAGAATCGATGGCATATTAAAAAAGGGCGCATATTATAAATTAATCAGTAAACAAAGGGTAAGATCGAAAGGGGTAATTTGAGTCCTCAAATTAGAAGAGCCTCGTGTAATCGGTGGTCAACATGCGGGTATCAAAATACAAGTGACCCGCTAAGCTGACCAAGTGACCTCATACCATCCTTGGCTAGACGTAATCTATTCATATTTTGGCAAAAACGTGGATAAAAGAACTTTACTTTGAAGGAACTTTACAACAGGGATGACCGGTCACGGTAGTCTAGTGGTAGAGTGTTCGCTTCGTGATCGGGAGGTCCGGGTTCGATTCTAGATCGCTGCGCCGCGTCATACCTAAGACGTAAACATAGGAAGTGACTGTTCCTTCGCCAAGCGCTCGGCACTAAAAGTTAAAGTCACGGATATGACCTTAAAAACATAGGACACGTGTCACGGTAGGCGCTGGCACGATAAAGAACCCTCAATGACCCTGAGTGATGAGTATAGGTCAAAATTTGAAGCCCTTCACCGGCATACGATGACGTCTCCAAATGTGTGAAAAATTCTCGAAAGGGACATTTAACAAAATACAATCAATCAATACAACAGGGATACGGTAATTTAAAAAAAGTAATTATAATTTATCGTTATTAAATACATTTGTCAAAGTAATTGGGAGTAATTTGTATTTGAGCCACCTTTCAACTATATTTTATTGAATGTATTTATTGAATGTATTTTTAATTACTTTTCAATGTCATTTTAATTACTTTTTTTCAAGTTCAAAGTGTAAAATTAAAATTCTCATAATTGTTTAATTTGTGTATACAGCATGTCACTCTGCTCGGGGCAATAGGTAGAGGTCTAATTTTGTCCAGGTTTAAACCCATTCCCAAGAACAAATACATTGAATAAATGTTCTCTATAAAGAAAAACATCTTATTCAAAATCAGACATGAATTCAAGTGTATAAGGCGAATTTAATGTCCCTGAAAATGTTTTAGAAATTTTAAAGCTAAATGTAAACAATGTGAATTTCACATATTTGGCACTAAAAAGAATACTTCTAACATTCTTACACATGCGTCTTAACTGCACCAGCAACTTTGACACCCCCTGAAAGACTTTAAAGAAACGTCTGGGAAAATCTTCGGACCAAAAAAAAATGTTAATCGAGTGATACTGTGTTTGGTGATGAATAAAAGCTATAAAACATTTCAGTAAATAATGCTTTGTGTATCCCAATGCTGTTTATACAATATATTTGTTCTACGAATTTAAAAAAAAAATTAAACTAATGTAATTGAAATGTATTTAATCACATTTTCTAGATAATTGAGTGTAATATTAATTACTTTTGAAAAAATCAATGTAATTGTAATTGCATGTAATTGACAAAATTAGCAATGTATTTGAAAGTAATTAATTACGTTTCAAAGTATTTGACCCCAACCCTGCTTTACAAGCATTTTTAAAATTCTTATGGAATCCCCTATATTATCCACACTAAATTCATAAATAGTAGTAGCATATTTAAATTATAACTCACCTAATGACATAAATAAATCGCATGTTGAACATAAATAAACTGCAGGTTGAGATAAATATACTGCATGTTGACAGCTGAATCTGATGACTGTATTTCTACAACTGATTTGGTGGAGATACAGGAGGTGACATCTGATCTATTTCTTTAATTTGCTGATTTGATTAATTTTTGATAGGAAGACACATTGGCACACTAAGGTTGAGGTTGAGGGGATGAGGAGAGTCACAATTCAAAATTCTGAATTTAATACTAGACTTCAAGTCCACAATGGCTTAACTCCTAGCTGCTCTTTGAGCATTATGTATTTTACTGTAATTTCAATTTCGAAGTCAAAATCCGTTTCTTCCAGCAAGCTCAGAAAGCATATCTGAGGTTTCCGAGGTTTTCTGAGCTTGCTGAAAAGACCCATACAAGTAGATAAGAAAAACAAGGTATTCATTACAATTTTAGAAACAACAGTCTTGGTTTATATGACTCGAATTACTGTTTCTTTTTCTTCATTTATGTGCAGGTTAGAAAAAAAAAAACTTCAGATCACATGTTTTATCAGATGATAAAGACTAAATTAACATAACTTCCAAACATACTCTTAGAAGTCTTTTCCCCGAGAGGCGGAATTATCCCGAAAGGTGGTATAACTGGTGCAAAAAACCGACGGCATCCTAAGATGCAGACATGCCTTAGATTTATTCGAACCTGACACCCTTAATCAAGCATTTGGTCAGTATCTCGTACGTCAAATATTATTAAGAGTGTTTCCTTGGTATTAATGGACATTTTCGGTTGGGTGAACTTCTACAGCTGTTAGCGGCTACGGATAAAGAAGTGTGGAAATCATGTTGTGCCAAAATGAAATAACTAATGCAAACAAATGATATACATGTAATCTAAATCAATCAAAATGGTTATTAGATACATTCAATTTTGCATTTTTAAACAAAAAAGTTCAAAACAAGGAAGGATTCCATACAATATCATGTTACACCTGCGCAAAATACCAAATGCGAAACCTCAATACTACTCAGGCAAAAAGCATCAGGGGGGGGGGGCTTTTTTCTCAACATTACTGTTACTATTGAAAATGTTCATTGAAATGCTGGTTGCCCCCTTTTACTACAGTTAAGGTATATCAGGGAAATGTAGTATTGTATGCCAGAAAAAAAGTTGGCATTGAAAAAAAATTAATTTGACTCTACACCCCCTCCCTCCCAACACAAAATAGGATTTTTGTGTTTGGGCAATTTTCCTTTTGGGATGGGGCTTGTCAACTTTTTCAGGTAGGTCAACAAAAATTCTCCGGTTTGCCCTCCACTTCTAAAAACGATGCTTTGTCACTGCTACTAATTAATAACATATACTCATTATATATGAATCACAGTATTTCTGACCTCTTGAAAATAATATAACTTTAGTAATCTTGCAAGTAGGTTAGCAACATTAGCTTGGGCTAGTACGAAAGATAAATTTGGAGTTTGGCTCTAAATAATTTGTGGTATAAATCTTGACTTCAAATTCTCCATCAGAAGTTTGAAGTCAAATACATTCTCGAAATGTAGGTTATAAAACTCACGATTAATAAATATGCGTGGTGCTGAAAGCTGGGATGAGCTTTACCACGATAAATGAAATACTGGGAACGAATTCCAAAAAAAATTCGATGTGTTAGAAATGAATTTTTAACAATGGCATATGAAATTCATGGTTTTATGAAACTTACAGGGGAAGTGGAGCGCACCTCCTTATATAATCATGCAACTTATTATAATAAAATTAAAAAAAATAAAGAAAAATTTATATAGCTGTCCCCCGCATCAGCACTCGGCTTGTGGAGGAACAGACACTTAGCATCAGGGGGCTAGGAAGACCTGCTCCCCCAATGTTAAAAAATAAACGTTATACTCTTGAAAATGTTCCTTGAACATTGCCCCCCCCATTCCCCCTTTTTTTGCAGTATAGTAACATAATCTAAATAGGGTAATGTTGTAGTTAATGAATAAAATTTAGTAATGAAAGATATGAACCTATTCTTCATGTCAGTTTTCTTTGAGATAGTCCAATTTTTCTGACTCTCCTAACCCCCCCCCCCTTCCACACACACACACACACACACACACGATAAAAAATGATGCTACCTGCTTGAGTTAATTTTACTTACTGGTGTTCACCTTAAATGCTTGATTATGCCCTCAAACTGGAATAATTCTTAAGGCCTGGAATATTTGTTAGACCAATCTATACTATAAACGCAACTTAATTTTTATTTTTTTTTTAAAAAAAAGACAAGGTTATATGGTATGTATTATCTACATATTATATGTACATGTAGTACTTATTAAAAAAAAAACCTTAGCGATGTATGACGACATCCCATTCAAGATGCACAGGGACTTGCTCCCAGCGTGTAATAATTATTTATTAAAAAATCATATACCATTATAGTTTTATTATTACGGTATATGATTTTTTAATAAATAATTATTACACGCCGGGCGCAAGTCCCTGTGCAAGGTGTAAAAAAAAACAGTTTAAAATACTTTATATACTAAATTACTTAAAATATTTTTGCGCATAATGCACTCCATACTGAAGATCCGTAGTTGCTAGTTTGTAAATGTTAGCACAACCGAAAATGTCCAATAGCACATGTCATTTATATTAAAAATATCCCGCCTCATCAG